GTCTGTCCCTGCGGGCCGCCGGCGGGACGAGGTTTGGAGGTGGTGCGCTTTTATTAGACGAAGTCGTTTGTTTGCAGAAAGACAACCAGCTTCCAGGCAATGCAGGCCCTCTCTGAGGTCAGACCTTCAGATTAACAAAGCCCGTCATCACCTACCAGCAGACCAGCCGTGGTTGAGGAGTCCTCTGGTTTCACAGGCTCGAACCAAGCTTATCTGGAGGGTTGTTCAGTTTGTATGTTTGGACAAAATGGGAGCACAAAAGCTTCTGCTGCAGGTGAAACTGGTTTCTCTGGTTAGAGCACAGCAGCTGCCTGATAAGCCAGCCTGGGGAGCAGTGGTCAAGTCGTCCCTGTTCTTTCCTGTTTGATCTCACGGTAGGTTGCTCTTCCCATTGTGCAGATGCTTCTGTGTGGGTCTGTTCTGGAAAACAAAATGGAAAGGATCTGGTGAAAAGTCTGTCCAGTCATCCCTCCTTCCCCTCGCCTCCAAGGAGGTTCCGTCTCAGCGCTGTCGAGACGGCAGCAGAGCAAAACCTTGTGGGAAGCTACCGTAACTCTCGAGGTGGCTTTGCCCCGGGTGTCTGCCCACTGGGCAGCAGCTGCGGTGCTGTGGGGGTGGGTGCTTGTGACAGCTGTGTCGGGGCCACACTGGAAAACGTGGCCTGTCTTCCTGAGACAGTTGAGGATTCCTAGGTTGTTTTGACCCTATGTGGATGGATCTTCTCCTAGGTCTTTTTAGGACGGTTTGAAATCGTGTAGAGCTGTAACACGCTGGGAGATATTTCTTGGATTCTACAGGACAGTTTCATTACTGCTTTCCCCCCCCCCGTGTTTTGTTCAAGATGATTAAAATATTTCAGGTTATTTGTGAGCAGTTTATTCCACTGAATTTTAATTTAATTTATGTGAATATTGGGGAAATATGGAATTTATTGATGCAATTTTATATGTAATTTGACTGTATAGTTGTATTTATATATAATATAGTTATTATTATCTTTTTAATTCTTATTTCTGTCTGAGTAACTATATATTGAATTCTCTGCAAAGCTGGTAGCACTGTCCACACTCTGAGATGCTTCTCACTATAGAAAGCTGTTTTCAAGAGCTTGCAGCATTCCTACGATTTCCACTCACTTGTCTTGTGTTTCAGCTACCATATTCCTGGCAGGTGTTGCTGGCTGTCCAACTTTTTTTTAAAGTTTTGGCTGAGGTGGATTGGTCAGTTTTGAGGATGAGACAAGGACAGTACTCAGTCTCTGCCAGCGTTAAAATCTAAAAGACTCTGTCTGGAACCCTGTTGTAAGAGGAAAAGATTTGAAATTTAGCAAGAGTGGATTCACATTTTGGATATTAATTTTGCTGTTCCTCTGAAAAAAACATGATTTCTCAGCCAAGTGTATCCACAAAAATCAATTTTCAAGTGCTTGTAGATTTCTGAAGAGTTCGGTGGCTAAGTACCTAGAGTAATGCAGCTCAGTGCTACACAGACAGCAACTCATACTGGGCGATCTTTGTGGAGTAAGTGTGCGTAGTCCAGTGTAGAACTTGCCCTGTAATGGTTACGCAGAAGCAGACACTGGAACTATTGGGTTCACTTCTGCTAGAGCATTCGTGTTTTAAATCAACAGGTGATGTTCACATGATAGAAGCAGATGTTCTTCTTCGTGGTGGCAAGGCAGGAAACGGAGACCCTATCATGGCTCATCCACCTGAAACAGACAGTGACAACACATTGCAGGAATGGCTAGAAGAGATTGTCAACACAAATAAAGGCATCAAGCTGGATTTTAAGAGGTATCTCAAGACAAAAAGATTTTTATGGTGTTTGTGTTTGTGTTAATTAACAGTTTGACAGGTAGTGCTAACTATCTTTTGGTGACAGTAGACCAAACTTTTTCTTACTGTGCAGTCTACTGTAATGCATTCCTTCCTGTATGGAAAATGAGGAAACATAATCACTATTACCAAAGGCATTGCAAGAATAAAAGCTTTAAAAGCTGAACTGCAAATAATGATTTCCTGTTCAGTGAATTAGTTACTGAGTTGCTTTGAAGCAAAGTTTTCCCACTGGAAAAGCTGAAATGATCATGCCTGTCTGGAAAGCTCCTGTCGGTTTTCTGCTTGTGCAGAGAAGTTGGAAAAGACAGCCCTTCCGACTGGGAAGTCAGACCATGGCTCCAGGCTGCAAATGAGGCTGAGCCCCCTCGGTCCCTCTGCCTCGCAGCGCAGAGGTCTTACCTGCTGTCATCCGGCGTTCTTGGTGTCATTCTCCACCATGGAAGGGGAATGAAAGTGTCCAGGTTTTTCAAGGAGCTTCTGAAAAGCTTGCTGAAGAGCCAACTCCTATTCCAGGTCTGCTGAGTTTTGTGATAATTTAGAAACGTCCTCCCATACCAGCGTGAATATCTTTTATTTTGCCAGAGCTTTTTTCCTCTCCACCCCTGAAGGCGAGGAATTCTGTTTCCTGATCAGCTCCAATACTAACAATCTGTTGGGGATGTCTCAATTCAAGAATTAGTTGTACTCCTTTGAATATCAGATCTCATACCACCTATGCTGTGGTGTTAGATTTCCTCAGTATGGTTGTAATAGAAAATGTTGTTTTGCTTTCTGTATAGTAAGGTGCACGTTTATTGTAGTAAATTCCGTTTCTTTTGTCTAACTTATTAATTACATTTTCAGAGGTTCATTTAGAATTTTAACTGTTAGCTCTTTTGTTGTCTTTAATGGAAAGTGCACCTGAACACCCCATGAGATTGCCTTAAAAAGTTTGAAATGAGGTTCAAAGTGTGCTGTGATTTTCAGACATACAGCTCTGCCACTCCTAATTTTAACTTAGTCTGAATTTGCACAGACAACATCTTTTTTTGCAGCAAATGGGGAATCCGCCTCCACATTAAAAAGAGCTTCATCAATGCCTGAGTATGCTACAGAAATGCAAAAAGAAAAACACTAAATAGTTGTAAAATGTGATTTGTACCTGTTGTACATGTGATGCAATTGCAGTTTTCATATGAGAGTTCATGAAAATATAAAAGATGTAGGCAGGCTAAACATCTTATTGTTACAGAATCTGTAAATGTCTGCCTGGACAGAGAAGGGAAGGGACAAGAGAAATAGGCATTTGTTTGGGTTTATTTGTTGGGTTTTTTTTCATTTTACTTATTGTTTAAATTAATTTTGAAACATCCACCTCTTATTTTTCCACAAGGAATTTCCAGCCAAGTGCAGTGATTTAAAAAAACTCATAAAATTATGTTGCATTATAAAATTCTAATTGTATAAAAGCATTTGAAAAATATGAGCACACAGTGCAGATACAGTCAAGCGAGTGACAGCAGAATTTGATGTTCTTTTGCATAGTATTTCTTTGGATACCATTGCTCAAGTTTTTAAGATTATTTCAGTAGCGCTTAAAAAGAAGTATTTTGTATATGTCTACTCTGTCAGCTTGACAGACCACATAGTCACATATCCTGCTGGCTGTATTTACAGGAATGAATGTATTCTGCAAAAGGACTTCAGAGTCCCACTTCAAAAATGCTGGAGTCGTTGTCAGCAATACGTTTTGAATTTTCCAAATGCTGTGCAATAAAACCAGTGCTTTCTGGGGTTTTTGTCTTGTTGTTTATTTCAAGAGATGCTGCTTTGGGCTTTTTTTCTCTTTAAAATATCTTGTAACTTGTAGTAAAAAGGAAGGCATTCCACTGGCTCTGACAGTCCCTTGTATATGGCAAAATGTGAACTGTTCTGGCCTCAGACAATGTGGGAAATACTTAAGCCAATAATGTTAACTCAAGCCGTCACCAGCTTTTCTCTAAGAAGACTTGAGCCAAGACTGACTGAAAGCGTTCAGTGGAATTCCTGCCGCTATGCAGCTTTCTCAACAATACAAATGTTAAAATGTACAAAATGACTTCTCGTAGGAAACCACACAGGCAGCTCGGACGACGATTTTTGGCTTTAGAGCTAACCTAAGGTAACAGCTGGCTGCCATTCCTGTTTTTGTCTGCAAATCCTGATACAATTCACCTGAACTAATTATGAGCCAGATTGGGGACTAACTTGGTGCAGAATGATCCCTACAAAACAATGAGAATAGTTGTTTACACTTTACGTGGCTGAACTCACACACTGCTGCTGCAGCAAGCATCAGCACCGTACGTCTAAGAGGCTGGAGATAACGCAGCTAGGAATTGGGAAGGTGCAATGGCCTTGGAACTGGGAACTGTGAAGCTATGGTAGCAGTTAACCATCATCTGTGTTGTTCAAACAGGCACCTGTGGAGCACGTAGCCTGTGGTTTATATCCGCTTAAGCTGGAGCAGTTGTGATCCTCTCCTTGCTCTTCACAGTGCCTTCTCTTCCCTCTGCTCTTCCTGGTGCTCCCCTCCCAGAGGGGCCAGTTTAGGATGTTAAGCAGGGAAACTAACCCTGCAGAACATCGTGAAGGATTTTCTGTTGGCTCAGCTCTGTATCAGGTCACTACAAGGTTTTGAGGAAAAGCTAGAAGATGGCTTATTCAGAGCTTTTCACGACTCACAAGAGAAAACACAGGTCCTTACTACTAGTAAGGAAGTCACAACTCTGACCATAATGATTTTAAATTCATGAATGTTATATAGAGTGTTAATTAGTTTGCTGTGAGAGAAGAAATACCTGTTTTCTTGGCATTCATTCCTTTTCCCCATTATTCCACCTTTCCTTTCCTTCTACAATACTGCTGTTTTGATAGGGTAGAGAAAGATTATTGTTTGCTTTCTAGTTATGGTTTTTCTTTTGTTTTGAGAGAACAGTGAGAATATGTGACTTAAGATGTTTTGTCAGATGCTTACAGGTGGTGCTGCAGTGGTCGCTTGTGTGCCTGCATTTTGTACTTAATGATTAGCTGTAGGATGAACATCTGATGGGCAAATTTCTTCATGCTGCCCCGACTATGCCACACTTTTGAGTTGTGGGAACAACGACTACAAAAGTGTTAGAGCCTGCAGTGGCTTCCTTAATTAAAATCCTTCCTAAGAGTTCGATAACATCCAAGTCTTAGCGGGTTGGGAGTTAGAAGAGCCATGAGGTAAGAGCGATGAAGCAGTTTCTATTGGGCAGCAGGGAGACAAGAGCCTTATGTGACTTCAGCAGTAACAGTCACCTTATGGTAGAAAGGGCCCTCGCTATTTGCTCTCTGGCTTACAGGGAGAGTTTCATTAACATAGCCGTCTGTGTATGTACTGTTATCTTTCACGTTTGCAATCCAAGTGAGGTGTCTTGTCTCACCCATGTGTTACTGGTACAGTCTAGAAGCCGTACGGCCTTCCTTGGAGCTGCTTGAACACGTGAAGCAGCGTTTGAGGCGACCCGTTTGGATCAATGCAGACATCCTACCGGGACCTAATGGAACTAATGCTGCAGTGGATGCAAAAGGGTTCCTCGACATTGTCACTTCCTTTTTCCCAGACATAACCTTGTCGCTGGGATGGACAACTGGCTGGTACCCTGCCAAAAACAATGCAGGTAAAGACAGAAAATTTAATGCTTATGCTGCAATAGTCTGTTTTCTTCAAATTAATTTTGTAATTGATTCAAAATAAGTTACATGCCACCTGGTCAGTTTGAAAATAATAGTGAATGTACGAATTATTTTCTTTGTTGGTCTGTATTTCATAGCGTTGTATAGCAGTAAGTTCAATGTTTGAGTTGCAGCAGAACTGTATAAAATACTGATGTTTTTGTTCATAGTATTCTGGTTTTCAACTCATTCATACATATTGAGGAATTTTGGGGGACAAATCGCCTACGCCCTGTTTCAGGTAGTCTGCTCCCTGAATCCTGGGAGGGTTGGTTTGGTAATCAGCAGCACGTTTCCTGAAGAAAAATAGGTTAGCTGGAAATTTAAAACCCTATCTGTGTGCTTTTGTAGTATATAACTGAAATAAAATTATAGATAAACATTGGTTTTAACGTTTTGTTTCTGTTGAATAATTGGATTTTTGCAATGAATTTTCTAATTTATTGAAGTTAGTAACTTTTTAAAATCACGGTGTTAAGAATCTAGTTGAAGTTTCTTACTGTTAATCCCGAACTTGAATTTAGAACCTGAACATGTAACTGTTATCTCAGGGTCCTTGTCACAGGCTGCATCTCATGATTCTTAGAGCTGCTTTGTGAGTGTGTTTTACTGCAGTGCACGTGCATTGGTGTGCAGTAGCGTAGTCCCCACCAGTATTGTCTGTGACTACAGCAGCTAAGTTGTACGCCATTCCAAATTGCTAGTTGTTCATTAGCAAGATTTACTATTATGTTACGAGGGTTTTGTTGTATGTTATACAATAATTTTATTAAACTATATAGTAGTTTGTCCAAAGTATTTTCAGTGCAGTAAAAAGTTGCTGGAAATAATATACTGGAAATACTGTACTGAGTAATCTGTTTTAACGAATGTAACTTTAACTCCATTCTGAATTTCAGTTTATGGATGCTAATTAAAAATATAGCATAAAACAGGAGAAAAACCAGTTTATTTGACTGATTTCCACTACAAATTGCCATTTGCCCAACGGAGTCTGTTTTTTTTAAGATTTGATGCTTTAGGTCTTTTCAGTTGCAACATTGCCTATGAGTACTTGATAAAAAATACAGGTAAGATTTTCATAGCCTGTAAAATTAAATGAATATCAAATGGCATTTTAACTAGCGCCAGTGCTTGTAAAAATCTCAACAGCAGGCACTTGAAGCATTTTAGAATTGCTTTATTTTAGCATTTTTAAAGTACAAAACGTTTTACATGCTTCGTTTCTCTATAATCTGAAGTATTCTATTGCATTCATTCAATTTTTTTCTAAATTGTTTCAAAATGTTTCTGTTTTTTAAGGTTCACTGTCAAGTTAAAACTAGTCCATGTTGAAGTGAATGGCAACACTGCTTTTTAGAGAACAAAGATATAATTTCCTGGATATTAGAAAATTTCATATTCTATAGCGATATGTAAAATAACGCTGCGATTAATAGAAATAAAAATTTTCAAAATAAATTTGTTTTTCCTTGTTAGTATTGCTCTTCTCCTCTGGAACAGTGACATTTTTTATTTATAATGATTCAGGAATTTCATTCTTGAGTTACATTATTTTCACAAAACCCATGTTTGCTCTTGGATTATCTTGTAACCTAACCATTCTAGAATGTATTGTGTCTTCATAGAGGTTGTATTTGTGAAGAATTCTTTTTAATCAAGTGGTCTTTATTCTAGGCTACGATTGGGTGATGGTGAAAGAAATGGCTCAGGTATGCAATACACTTTCCCAGCCTGTAACTTTCCCTGTAAGAGCAGCATTAGTACGACAGTCAATATCTGAGCTGTGCTGGTTAATGCAACAGTCAGATAGGTAAGTTTGAGGGCCTTTATTTTTAGCTGTCTTTATTACAAAGGCACGTAATTGTTTATATTAAATATAACACCATTATGTGTACCTGCTTATCCCATTATGTTAAAAATATTTTTTCTTGTAGATCATCCCTTCAATTCTTTTATTCCTTCAGTTCTTACATTGTGTTGTCATACAGAAGTGGTCACTATTCATTTCTTTAAAACAGTAAGATTCCAAAATCCTCTTTTAAAATTACTCATTATAGGTGGTGAATCTTGTGTAGGTTTGTAATCCAGTTGCACTGTAAATATTTCGTAACACAAATGTAGTTAAATAGACCGAGTAGTTGGGTGTTGCAATTTGGAATTAATTACATTTTAAAACTTAGATTTTTATAGATACTTTGGATTCAGTATTTATATTTTCTGTAACGATGTGACGTAAAAACATTAAAAGTGATTGTTAGGTTGGAAGTTAATGAGTGTGCTACAAAGCTGATTTTGCTTAGGTACTTAAAAATACATTCAGTAGTTTTCAAACACTGATTTAATATTTCCTTCTAAAAATAGTTCTTACAAAGCTGTAACAATTTCATAGAAAAAATGTATTTACATGTAATAGAATGAGAATAAAACCTGCTTTGTACGTACTGTCTTCTACTCGTCTTTTTCACCTGCTCTGCCTACCTACACTTTAATAAAGTTGTTCCTTAAGCACCAACCAAGGTCAAAGCCCAAGAGAAGAATTAAGACAGTGGCTTCTATGGAAAATTTCTGAATAGTTAGAGATAACAGGGTGGAAAAAATAAAGTGCTTTTTTTCTCATTTGTAGTGGTGAATCAAGAGAGAAATCAGAATTAAACATTTGAAATGGGAAATTAATTTAAAAATATTGTTAAGAGTATGTCTTGTGAATTGTGCCATTCTCAAACATGTCCTCATTGGATACAAACATTATTCCCACTGAAATACTAGGATTTCCCCTTTTACCTCAGCATAAAAATCCTGATTTTTCTTAGTGGTATGATTAGAACACAGAAATTACAGAGCCAGGTTTGCCGACATAGAACGAAATTCTGACTTACGTGTATTTGAGATTAATACAGTGTTAATAAACAAAGGGGGGAAATGAGGTATTTGTCGTGTGGAGATTGTGGATGGTAATGCTTTTAACTTAAGTTGATACTTCAAAGTTCTTCAGGTATTTTTAAGAGTCACGATAAAGTCTGTGCAATTAATGAGAAAAGTGTATGTGATAAAGTACAGAAGATATATTCAGTTAATGAGATGGCATCACTACATATCACGTGTGTGACAAAACAAGGGTATAAAAATCACCTGTAGCTGAGATTACCTTGTGTTTTCTGTTCTAATGCTCTGCTTTTAACTATTTATTACTTTGTCAAACTTTAAATGCTCAGCCTGGTAATTTTCTTAGCTGGAGATCTGCCTGAGATTTTTTTACTTTATTCCTTGCTAGGTTTGGCAGAACAGTTCTAACAAGGACCAGGCTACAGATAAAACGTGGTCCATCTTAAAAATTTTGCAGTCCTCCGTGGGAAGTTCTAGCAAGTTCAGCATTAGGAGCAAGAACCCAAAGTTTGACTGGAGCCAAATTGTATGACTTACCTCCGTAACGAGGGGGGAAAAAACGTGTCAAAGGAATAGACCTCTGCAAATTTTAGTTTGTGTGTTCAGTCATGTTCTTCAGCTGGTCTCTGTACCAAGCATTCCGTGTGTCCTGTGTGCAAACTAGGATGTATTTGATCATGCCTGTTCCTGGGGTAGCATTTTGACCCAGCAATTGCTTTTCCTCGTAACTTGAAGTAACTGTGGTCCCAAGGTTGGAGAGGTTCTCAGTGCTGTCGGCTGTAGCACAAATGCAGGGTAGAGGGTGATGACTTACCTGGATGAAAGGATGAGGAGGGCAAGGACATACAAAACTGTTAATTCTGGTAGTTCATGAATTGTGGTTGCTTAACTTTGAAATGTAAAGCAGAACCGGGTTTTGGTATTTAATTACATTCCTAAAATTAAGATACCACAGTCCTAAATATTTTTAGGAGCTTATTAGTGTAGTGTATTTCTGTCTTACATTCTTTATCTTAAGATAATAACATTCTTTTTTATCTTTTTCCTTTTTTTTGATACAGATACAGCCTCACTGTTTGGACAGGAAAGGAAGATGTGTATTCTGTAGAAGATTTGCTTTACATCCGAGAAAACTTTGATAAAAGTAGGGTTTATTATGACATCTTAGAGCCACAAAATTCTGAATTCAAAAAAGCCACAGGAGTAGAATAGTAAATAAAAAGCAGGCAAATCTCTGACCTTATAATATTAGCCTCTTTAAATGTGGAGATGTCTTGTTTGGGGAAATACATATTCCTTCCCATAAGAATTGTATAGAACACAGCTGTTATTATTGGAGGAGTTTTTGTACAGCACTTTATTGAAAGGCTCCTCAAATAGAAATTTAATGCCTTCTTTAATGGGTCAGAATTGTTACTTGCTCATCATAGGCATATTCCCTCTCATTCACCCAGTGGTATATAGTAAAGGCTACTCACGTTACCTGAGTGCGGCGGTACTTCTCCCCTGCAAGCCTATAAAGGGGAGAGTGGCCCTGGCTGATAGGCGTGGTCCAAGGTAGTTTGCTGCTAACTGCTTTTGTCTTAGCCGGTCTATGGGACGCTCAGTCTCTACCAAAGCCTGGTTTTGCTTTTTATAGGGGAGGACAAGAGTCAAGGCTGTATTAAGTACAAAAGTATGCTGTTCCCAAAGGGGTTATTTTATAGCTCATCTTGATACGCTCCATTTTTAATGCCGTTGCAATTGATAAATGTTCTCACTCCTAGTCAACAAAGATTCTTTTTGTTAGACATGAAGAGTGGCATGTGTGATGCTACACATTCCAGGGAGAAAAAATGGTTATTTTTACTGAATTACAACTAATCGGATTCTCTGCAGTGTGGTGATTGTGCATTCCACACCATGGCTTGTCTCCATGCTTTCTGAGCCATCAGCCGCATAGTCCTTGCGTGGTGAGAAGTCTGAGTTGGAGTTGTAGCTGCACTGCAGAAGGTGCTGAGGCAAACAGAACCTCCAAAACGAAAGATAACCCTGTCCTGTACATAGCACACAAAGATGGATTACAGTGAGGTACGCATCAGAGACAGCATCAAAAGAGCTATGGCAGTTTATAGCATAGAGAAGTGCTGGTGGTTCTTTCAAGAATTTTAAACTAAATTTTAAGTGTAACAGGAGTTACATAAAATGTTCTGCTGCAGTCTTTCTGAAAGCCAGAGGCTCTAAGAATGAAATAGCTGTACAGTGATAGTGCTTACAGAAAAAATTGTACATCTCTGTGATAGCACAGTTATTTTCTATATTCTCCTGGTTTGTGCCTCTTTTCAACTCCCAGAATACAATACCACAAATTTCAAAAGTTGAACTTGCCTCTGAGAAAAACTAAAATCATTGCAACCCTGCTTATTACCTGCAGGAAGAGTCCTACATATTTCCTTTTAAGCTTTTTTTGCCTCTTTTGCTTCTACATCCCTTAAAATTAATACAGGCATTAATTGAGACATGCGTATTGAGACAGAAGCTGTGTATTGTTGCTTTCTGCCAAACACGACAAAGATTTTTTTTCACAATGACAGAGGAGGTTTTGATTTCTAAATGAAAGCTGATTCTCTGAAGAGACATTACCCTGTCATCCTCTTGTCCTCCTTTTGCCATTCTTCTCACATGCTTCCCACAGGAATTGTGTTAACTGTGGTGTTTTACACAATACTGGACACACTGATAGTACTAAAGAGTTAATTACAGCAATTTTTGGTTCTTACATAGCATAAGTACCACTGTGATAGAAAAGTTAAGTTATATTTATCCATCCTAAATCTTAAAATGTGGTGATTTCAGGCAGTAAGTAAAATTCAACATTCCTGGTTGTTACCTATGCTCCTCCACCAGGTTTATCTAATAATTGTTTTACATTCTTGACACCTACTAAGATACAATATACTTGGATAAAATTAGGAAATATTTTTGAAATAAGGAAATTATCTAGTTGTACTTGGAGTAGTTAGAGTACTTAATTTGATTTACACAATCCATCTGTGTGAATGGTGGTAACAACCGAAAGGTCAAGTTTGGCACTGTTGTTGTCCCACAGCGGGGTCTGGTACCCAGTTTGTAACAAGCCAGTTGTACACACAGAGCCAAGATACTTATTTCAGTCCTGCGCAGAAAAGGGTGCTAGGTGGAAATTCCACAAAGCTAGCACACCTCCTTGTTTCGCCTTACAGTTTATATACACTTCTACTTCAGTATACCCCGCCTTTGACACCTCCAAAGTTTTATGTGATGGGTTAGTAATTTGCATACAATTACATCATGTACTCAATTATTACGCATGCTCCAAGGGTAGGGGTCTCTTTTGGGCAGGGGTCTTCTAACTAAGGGCTGTGATTTTTAGTATTATAATGAGAGCAGTTCTCCTAAGGACGCTATTATCTGCTGTTATGCTGACTACTCCAAAACTTAAGTACAAACAAAATCCACCTTTCAGGGCAGGGTGTTCCTCTTTTATCAGTCCTTCAGTTCTTATCCAAGGGCATAGTGGCTAGTAAGGCAGGCATTGCTGATACAGCGTGACTGACTTGGCTTCGCGAGTCAGATACAGCCCCTCTGGTCCGTCAGGGAACAAACAATGGGCCAGGTGTCTTCTGAAACTGGCCTGACAAACTGACCTAACAAGCAAGACTCTACGTTATGTATTACATATGGATCTAATCTTTTCAATATTGGACTACACTGTGATTCCTTTTAATGAATTGGGAGTTGTGGTTTAGTTTGCTGTGACAACATGGTCTGATTCGAACAGATTTAATCTCTCAGTTCTTTATAGCATCTCTTTCTTTGAGGTTTGCATGCACACTTTGCTATATGATGGGAGGAAGAGGGATTGACTGGTTCCTAGCTGATTGTAACTATGGAAAATATTTTAAATACTTCAAAGACCGTTTTCTAATGCAGACCATTTTGACTGAAACACGTTGTGTGAACAGGCATGGAAACAGATCCTTTTCTGGTTGATGACCCTTTCCCCTAACTCCCCTTCAGGGAGAACAGGATGTATGAATGACCAAAGGTCCAGTTAAACCAAAGTTATAGACATTGCTTTGAATCTATAGTACCTACAATAAACTAGTAGGAAACAGTACAGTTCAGAGTTTTTTATTTTCCAGCATATACCATTGAACCAGAAGCACTTAGGGGATGTCAGCCAGCTTTTGGAATCAAATGCAATATAGCTGCATTAGCCAAAATGAGCCAGGAAGGTGTCTGAATAACAGAATTTGCTTTTGAGGGACATAAAGGAAATAGCTTGAGGACACATTGCTGTAGCCGTGTTCGCTTATTGAAAGAAAGGTGCCATTGAAGAGCATTGAGGTTTTTGTATTATTCTTATTGAACACTTCACTAGTTCTAGGCTGAGACTGGGTTTCTCTTCAAGACAGTGCTGGTCATTCAGAAGCAGCAATACTTTCCAGACATACATTTATCTCTAACAGATTTAAATACAAGGTTATTTTGTTGTCCTTTTATTCCACTGTTTATGTAAATGTTTAGGACTGGAATGGGCTCCTAGATCTTGTTTCAGCTCCTTGTTGCGGGTTGCATTTATTCACTTAAGGGATTTTGTCTTTCAGTTGGTTAGGCCTTTTTGCATCCACACAGGCAAACTTTTCTGTTATTTAGAAACTTTTTTCCACTTAACAATTCACACCTGAAGTATTAGGATTTGTTAAAACTGGTTAAACTATTATGTAAAAAACATCAGCAATTGCCAGAGGTATTTTTAAGGGTGCAGACATCATGGAGGAAATATTACTGAGTAATATATGTGGATATGAATAAACAGGGGTATTCAGATGAAATTAAAAGAAGACATGATCTGGATTACCAGAAAATTTAATTAAGGTAACAAGACATGTAAAACTAGATAAAACAAAATGCTAGAAATGAATTTTATGAAGCATTCTTGCAGTGACAGAAGGGTTTGACTATATGGTGAATTTGATCATTCTGTATGGATTATCCTGTGTATCTGAATTTCTGCACATATTTTTTACCCATAGATGTCTGTTACTTTCCTGCCAGGTACTTTCTGTTGGTTTTGTCAGTCTGGTCTGACTTCCACGTAAATCAATTCAAGTGTATTTGTTTCTATGTTTTCATGCCAGTCTTCACACGAATGCTCTCCTTCTAAAGTAAGATGTGTTAACTGTGGAGCTGGCAGTAAGATAATGAAGGTGAGGTGAAAGCCATTTATTCTGTTGGAAACAGGGGTCTGTGGCACGTGTGTGTAACTAGCTGTTGCTGTCTTTTTTTTTTTTTTTACCTTCTGTCAGGGATCTATTCCTTGTACTTAAAGCTTTGTTTAGGAGCTCTAAACTCTGCCACTTCATTACAGAATCATTCTCTCTATCAGTGTTGGTACATGTCTGTTGATATCTTTCAGACAGGTTTTTAGACTTAATTGTCCTTGTTACATGAAAAATCTTGTTGATTTTAATGGAATTAGGTATTGTTCAGGATGTCCAGGTGAGTTAATTGATTAATAAAATGTTTCTAATTTACTTCAAGCTTTGTATTTTTCTGTGAATTTGGTGGAACTTAATAGGTAAAATAACACATTACAGAACAGAGTTGACATCATTAGTCCTGCACAACTACTTAATAATATCCTGCAGTAACATGTAAGTGTACTGATGAAAGCAAAACAGAAACTGATTTTCTGAGGTTTGTATTGTGTGAATGTGCTGTGGAATCAAAGAACATGCCCCCAAAGCCACATTTTTTCCAAAGCAGCTCTCCACATCATCATCTTCAGCATTCGTTTGAAGCATTACTCAGTTTTGGCCTACTCCGACTGCAAAAAAAACCTCAGTCTTTTTCTTCAATTAAAACCTTCAAATTAAAGCTTTTTATGTTTTATTTATCAGCCTCCACCTGTGATTGGGCCATTTGCAACTGTTACTACAGACTTATTCCTGCACTGTCCATTTAACCCTATTTAATGTTGGAGTCCAAACACTGTAAAGCTTTCACTTGGTTTTTATTGTGCTTTGTTTGGATAATGAAGAATTTGATTCCAGCACCTGGCGCATGCTGGCTGTCCTGCCACAGCCCCAGGAATCTGTATCTGAACCATCCGCGTGCCCTTTTGCAGAGTCAGGTTTACATTAACCTCCACTGCTGCAACCCACTTTCAGGAATTTCTGTTGTTGGTG